CCGTATTGCAAGACCTTGTGACGCTAAGAACAACAGAGAAGAAAAAATCTTTTTCAGGCACTTTCGATTATTCAATAACTCTTTTTTTCTGCTCAGAAATCTGTAATTATAATAAAAAGTGTTTACATTTTAGGATAACCTGTCATGTCAAATACAAATTAAACTATATAATCACCTGTGCAACAACGTTAACTGATAACTTCATGGTATGAGAATTAAATACGGCTTCTTTGTGGCATTGTGATCTTTCGTGCAATTTAAATTTTTCCAACCCCTTCTTCCAATTATTAAAACCCGTTTCAATGAAAGCGGTTTCTTTTTTAAAAGAAAACAGCAGACCTATTGTGAAAAATATTTCTCGACACGTGGAACAAAGAACAATATCTTTTTCTGAATCATACAGAATCCAGGGAAAGTTATTGGTCCAAGTTGGAACAAAACGACGTTTTGTAATTGTAGTCGTAAATCTACCAGAGGTAACAGTAGTGGATGTGCCTTCTACTATAAAATCTGTATCCGCTACTGTGGTGTTTTCTTGGATAATTGAGTCTTCTGAAACCGCACCAGTCCCGGATGTTTTGGCTGGCAGTTTTATCAAAAACTTATCCATTTCTATTTTTTCAAACTTATTCTAGTAAAATAAAATTTAGGAAATAAATTCAATCAAATTCATTCAATTTAATTTAATGCAGTTTATATTTATATAAAGCTTTTTAATTAAATTTTATTACAAACACTTACTTTTACCGGTTGACAAATAAAAGCGTACGAAACAACGTGATGAAAATTTTAAATTTAAATCGATTTTAACGTTTTGTTGCTATGGTAACACTACGAAACGCTGCAAAAAATTGTTTAAAAGTTGCCTACTGATTGAACGCTTTACTTATTTAAGACTAACGCTCAAAAAAAGTTTACTGTAAATAAACACGAATTTTGATTAAAAATAAAAATGAAACGTTTTTGAAAACTGAATTTTCAAGTCAAAATTATTGGGGGGGGGGCAAAACGATACTTTGTGCTTTGCCTCCCCTAAGTTGGCGTCTATGGCAACAACCATAAGTTTAAGGAGATGTTAATGAAGACTTTTCTAATATATTATGTATTTAAAAAAAATAGTTTGACTCACGTTTTCTTTTTTGTAAAATCTATCTCAAAAATTTTAAAAATGTCCGACAATCAACGCATAAACAAAGATTATAAAATGATTTAAAAAATTAATATTGGTTTTTAAACACCGGTGACATTTGTAGAATAAAATTAAAACAAAATTAAAACTATTTCAATTTTATTGATTCCGAAATCTTTATCTTTATGCGTGTCAGTTTAAACTGACGCTAGCCAAATATGGGTTAACTACCAATTCTAGTGACTAGTTAAGTTAGGTGTCTTAGTAAACTACTCTGAAGTATAACCTAACTCTAACTTATTTGGAAGGCTACAGAGTATTGATAGCACTAAGTGTATAATATAATATAATTTTACAGTATAGTACTGTACTGTAATAGTGATCCATCTTATGAAAGACTGTTACTTATTTTTTATCTAATCACTAACATCTTTTATCATTTAATAAAGTGGTAAATAAAGTCACATTTTATATGGTCAATTAATAAATTATTAGTAAAGTACATTTTATGAAATCACATTTTATAAAAATTGAAATGTTAAGATACTAATTATCCTGGTTTATAAAAATTGTGATAAATTTGATCTTACAGCCACATTACCCTAATAAACTGGTGATCTCAACCAAAATATTTTTCCAATTTTAGGGTATGGATAACCAAAACCTTAGTAATAGAGGAACAATAAAATCTAAATTAGGGCTTTTGGGTAAAGATATAGAAAGCAACATAACCATTCTTTTCTAATTTAGCTAAAAAATACACAAATAAAATTGTATATTTCCAAAATAATATAAATTTAAAATGATTCTTATTAAAAACCTTTAACTCAATTGAGTTTATAAGAAGTTTTAAGCCACAAATATTTGCTTTTAACATCTGATTTGAGCTTCTTTTCTACCATTTTTTTCTTTTTTTCTCTGCTCGTGATTTGCTGAAAGTGATTTTGCAGTTTCAATGCTGTAGGTGTCAATGGATTTTGAAATTTTTTTACTATGCATTTTCAATCAATCCTATTCATTTCCACAACCTTTACATGTGTTGGGCTAGGACATTGGTTTCGCAGGTCCTCTTCAATATGTCTTCTTTGGTGCGGAACCAATGGATTTTCCAGGTCTTAGGTTGAGATCGCCAAAGCAGTTGGTGTGGTAGATGAGACTGGCTCATTTGAACACACATGACCAAACCATCGAAATCGCCGTCTTTGTTACTACCATTTAGTCTTCCAGTGAGTTTGCTGTTTTACTACCATTTAGTCTCCGAGTGAGTTAGCTGTTTTTATTACAGCTGATGGAAGATTATTTGTTGAGTTGGATTGGCCAAAGCATGGTTAAGGTATCTATATCCATTGAAAAGTTTATCTTTTTCATCAACTCTAAATTGTATTTCACAAATTAAACATTTTCTGTAAAGTCAAAATTTTTTCTTAATTCCAAATGATTCTAAATTTTAGAATTAGTTTTTCTCTTTCTCGGTTTTCCTTGAAAACACCGGTACAAAATTATTGTATCTTTTTTATTTAAAATCAATTTTTATATTTTAATCACGTTATAATATAGTTCTAACCCAATGTTGCATTACTTACATCTTAATAGTAATCAAATAAGAAAAAATTAAGTTTAAATTAAAAATTTAAATAGTTTTTTGGATCATATTGAAAATGTTTTTGCTTTGCAGAACAACTTCTTTATAAAATATAAGTTTTTGTAATTATATCTGAGTTTTTGAGAATTGAGCTAAATTTTGCTTGAATTGAGTTTGTATATTGCAAAGTACTTAGTTGAACTGGATTTGATGCTCATGAAACATCTAGCCATGTTAACCTCTAGCTCTAGTTAAACTTGCTGGAGGAATAGTTTTATATGACATATGGATTGAAGTAACAGTCCCTTTGTTTGCGAGAGAGTTTAAATCTATTAGTTTGGGTCATCTCCAAATGTTTGACTGAATGGTGTATGATTGCAGTAAAACCTGATTTAAATTGAAGTAGCTCATACCTACAATTTAATATTATTTTTCTTTTTATGAGCTTTTTGTCTGAGCCCACCAATAATATGTTACATTAAGTATGCTGTTAATAATGGAAAAGTAATGCTTGCTGGGAAATAAATGTGAAGTTAATTTCTCCTTAATTTTTCATTTCTGTTTCAACAATTTTGTATTGTAAAAAGGCAAAATATTTTGTTATTTCTAAAAAACGAGGTTATTGATAAATTACATATTTGTATTTATATATTTGTACACAGTTTTCTAAACATTTTATTTGAAAAATTAAATGTTTTTTTCACCTTATGCACTCTCACTTCAGGTTACGGTAAGAATTAAATTTGAATTTTTTTTTCAAATTTATTTTTTATTATTAATTATAATCTATCAAACAAAGTTTATAAGGTTCATCTCTGTAGTATTTTTAAGTTTTTTAAAATTTTTGTTTCAATTACAATTTTTTATTTTAATGCGATGGGTTCATTATCACTTTGCTTTTTTTTTTGTTTTGTTACGTCGTCGCCATTGATCTTAACTAGATTTTTCATTGTTTTTTCCCTCCTTAAATAATAAATTTCAATAAATTATTTAAAGAGTTTTGTGGTTTTTATGTGAAATTAGAATAGTGTTGTAAAGTTGTAAAGCGAATTTGCCGGAGGAAAATGTCAACAAACTGGCACAAATGCAATATGGTGCAATAGTTTTCTTCTTTATTATGTGACCCTGTCAAATGCAGAACTACTTACACGTTATTCCATACTTTTAATTATACTTTTGTGTTGCGTAGGCTAGACTATCCATGTCAGGTTGTGTATGCCCCACATCATACGTTTGTCACATATGACGATAGTCTTTGAGCTTTAGACAGAGAGCATTCGAACCTGACTATCGCATAACAACGGCGCTAGACATGGCACTTCTACCAACTTTGCTAACTCGCCGACCAATATATAGGTATGGTCCTGGATTGTAGTCACTGTAATTGTATGCAAAGAAACCCACTTGAAATGTGTGTAAGAAAGAATTATTGAAAGTTATGAGAGATTGTGATAGAAATTTTCTTTTTTACATTTCAAAGTTTTACAGACTTTGGGTCTAATAATCTTTAAAGCAAAACCTCACTTATGTTTGTTTTAAGGTTCACATAAGTAATTCTATATATTTACAACGAAAGATTTTTGGCATTCATTCAAAATTTCAAAATAACCTTGCAAATTATAGCCAACTCAATGTTAAAAAGTTGAACAAAAAGATATCCAATAAAACTAATTTTGGCTCAATGTTTATGCACATTTGCTTTTGTGATCAATATACTTTAGAAATATTATTTTCATGAATACTTTAGTCGTGTGTTAAAATTTTTTAAAAATTGATATGGATCTTTTAGCCATATTTTGCGATAGTATATGGTGGTGAAACTTGGATGTTGAGGAGAGAGAAGAAAAGTGTACTGCAGAGGGCTGAAAGAGCTATGGTGAGGATGATGTGTGGGGTTAAAGTATAGGATAGGAGGAGTAGTACAGGGCTGATGTCGATGATGGGACTGAATGAGGACATTGTGACATTGATAAGGAGATCGAGATTGCGGTGTTGTGGACATGTGTTGAGAAGGGATGAAAGGGTCGGGGTTAGGCGAACGTTGGAGTTCGAGGTTGAAGGAGTGATAGGAAGGGGTCGTCCGCGATTGGGATAGAGAGAGCAGGTGGAGAAGGACAGAGTGAAAGCGGGGCTGCGTGATCTTGAGGCGAGTGACAAATGTGGATGGCGTCGAGGGGTATTTTGGTTTCATCATAGGTAGCCAAACGGCAACCCCCGATCTCGGGGAAAATGTCGTTTAAACGTGTGTTGTTGTTGTAGTTGCTTTTAGCCATATTTTGATGGAAGTAATGCTTGTTCAGAAGTCCAGAAGGTTTATAATAATGACGAGTTCATGTTTTTTTGTTTTTGCTTGCTGTAACTTTATTTACATAAATTATTATTTACATTGATGAAATTATAATAATTTTTTTGAAGATGATGGGTAATCCAGATACAAAACCTCATTTTTTCTCCGACAAATCACTGGATTCTGTTATAAAAACTGTCGTCAAAAAGTTCCCAACAGTATCCTCCACCGTATGAAATTATCATTTATTCATTTATCATTCATTTATTTAGTACTGTGAATTTAGTTACTGATTTTAATTCATTTAATTTAACTAATTTAATTTTTTTCTATTAAAATTATGTTGAGTTTATGGCCAGATGCTGATTTGGAACAAATTAAGATAATCAACTGAAAATGGCGTGTTCAAGTAAGGAAATAAGATCACTGATGAGAATCAACAAAAAATTTAAATGTTAATGCAAACATTTTAAAGAAGTGGTTTTGCTGATAAGACTGATTTTTTAGCATTTAAAATTACAGAGCATTTTTATGGGATGAATGAGATAAAAAAACGGTTTTGACGGAGTTTTAATGCACTTGTATGAAGTGATGTTGAAGATTTATTAAAAGAGGACAAGAAACTAAATGGAGTGATTTAGTTATTTCAAAGTAAGCTGAAGCATCACATTACCTCACAATATAAGTTGAAATGCTGATGAATATGTCTTCAAGAATTTCTTTCTCATTGAATGTGATAAAATATCACTAATGATAATCACATTTTAACGTTTTTTATTATATCACATTTATTTCAGAGCTTCTCAACTTTATTATCACCTATGAAAGAAGATATCATCAAATCTTTGTCGTTATATTATTATACATTTGTGGATATAATGGATCTTAAGGTCGGATACTTATTTAACACTATATATATATATATATATATATATATACATGTTTATTTATTTTTTATTTGTTCATTATTTTGACTAGGTGAGCAGAAATTTATGCAAACCTGTGCGGTTGCCGTAAAAAACGTCAAATAGAAAATAAATGGCAACTAAAATATGAAAAATTGCACACATAATTAAAAATAAAATTATGAAAATTTTGAAGTTTTAGAAATGTATAACAAAGAAGAAGATTTTAATTTTTATAGAACCATAGAACCTTTTTTACTATTTGAAGAATAGCAAGTAGTTTTTCAATAATAAAGATGTTTAATATAAATGCAAGGTTGTTAATAGAGTTTTTATTAACTTCTGAAAGAACAATTAAATTTATCATTGAATTAACAAAAAGTAATGAGAGTATTGAATTTAACGTTGAAAATGCTATGAAACAAGTCATCTGTTCCAACTACACTATTTGTTGTAGCGATATCGTTAACTTTAGAAAATTGTTTCACATTTCGTGAAACCTCATTAAAATTTTGCCATGATCTGACTGGTCGTTATTTTTTTATCAAAACTAAGTGAATTTATTTCATTGCCATCGTTAATATCTTGGACGACATTTTATTCTTTTATCGTCCAGAGCCTCACAATGCTTCTCGGCTTTAAATCATTGAATATTTTCTTTTAAATTGTATTTCAAAGCTCAATTTCGCATCAAAAAATTCATGAGTAGAATGAGCAAAATTTTTTATCCAAATTTCCTTCGAGGATGAATTTAACATTGTTAACAGGTTCACTAAATTCCAGAATTTTGCTAGGACCCGTAGATTTAGGCAGCTGATGCATATCCTGTATTCTAAAATTTTCAACTCTTCGTTTGTTTACTCAAATACTATCCAATTCGTCAAAATTAAACCACAAAAAACAAAAGTTCATTATTCAAAAGTTTTTTAGTCATTATTTTAATTGTCAGGTATATTTAAATGAATAAAACGTAAAACAATTTCAAAAAGCTAGCATTAATTTTGATTTAACTTATTTATTTTTACTGAATTTTTAATATTTTCTAAACTCGTTCAGGATCATATTACAGATTTATTGACTACAATAGATGCATCGCAAGTTCATTTTGATATAGTACGTATGTTGTTATCACGTTTAGAAATAATTTTTCACATTTTATCATAATTTTTTCAGACATTGAATTTCGATCTGACCCAAAACTATCTTGATCTTATTTTTTCCTACTTCTGCATAATGATTTTGCTGTCCCGAGTTGAAGATAGGAAAGCAGTGCTAGGATTGTTCAACGCTGCTTTTGAACTACAAAACAAAAAAGTGTATGTTTTCGTAATTTTTCATTTGTTTAATTGCAGTGGCCTCTTATTTGGCTTGTTACAGTTTTTTTATGTGTAATTTTTTTTTATTTCAATTTATTGCATACTTGTAGATATATAAAAATGCAGAAAGGCTTGCATTGTATTAACATTTAAGCACTTTAGACTATTAGATTATTTAAATTAAATCTTTTACATTTAAACTTTTGGCACATTTAAGATCTTAATTACAAATTAAGTAACAAAAACTTGTCAATAATCAATAATCCCTAGCTTGCTGCCTCCATCCAGTTTTGCAGTTCATTTGCTGTTATTTTCATTTGCTGTTCACTTTTTTTCACCCTTCCTTTCTTTCCAACACCATTCGCATCTTTATACCTCATAATTAAGTTATTGGAAATGAGCGACGTGACGGATGCCGCGGCTCGCTAGGCGAGACTTGGCAATAGGAACGTTCAACAAATTTGCTGGTAGATCTTGCAGTGTTTTATCTGGAATTTTAACTACTGCTGTATTGTTTAAACAAGCAGATTTGTGAGGAATAAAAGGAAATATGCAGATGATTATCATTTGCACGTTGATGGGAAACAATGCAATATTTGCTAAGAATTAGGCTGGAAAAGTAAAAACTAAAAAATATGACCAAGAGGAAAGCCCTAAGGGACTCTAGTGTTGTTCTTGCTGGCAAGGAAGGTGTAATTTTTGTGTTCTGTAATGTAAATTGATGTCAGGTAAGACTTTGTAAGAGCTAGATAATTGACGCTAAACTTCTGCTGAGGGGAGTCGAAAAAGATTCAGTGATTGTCATGTCAGAAGCAGGCGATGGGTCGATCAAATCCAAATTCACTGGAAATGTCGTCTGCAGTCATTAACAACGCAGTTTCTCTACAATAGTGAGAACGATAAACAGATTGAAGTTTCGGAAGTTATGGCTGGCTGTTGGATAGTTGCTTGGTTTGAACAGCATGAAGCCCTTGATTGCAGCCGAAGAGTGCTTATCAATTTTGCAACTTTCAGATTAATAAAACTCGAAATTTCAAAATACTTTAGCATTTAAACTTTATTTGTCATCTGATACTTTATCGAAATTTCAATTTCTATATAGGAATTATTAAAGAACTTTTCGTAAATTTGTGTAATGTTAAAGTTAAAACACGCAAGTATAATTTCAAGCGTGTGCTAGCTGTTGTAAAAACTTGCAAAACTGTTTATAACAAGTAAAAGAGATTTCAGAAATTTGTTATGTCAGTTGATGCTCAATTGCAATAATATAAATTATGTTTTTAGTTAACAGAAAATTTTTTGTTCTTCTGTTTTTGCAACTTTCTGCAAAATATGATTGTAGTCAAATAATGGATTTAAGATTTAATTACATCAAAAATTAATATTAATAATATTAACAGAGAAGATTCATTTCCTCGTTTGGGCCAAATGATTATTGATTACGACACACCTATCAAGAAGCTGTCTGAAGAATTTATCCCTCACTCCAAGGTTCAAACATTACTTTCATTCGAATTGTGCAGTATGTTAATAAATTTATGAATTTTCAAATTTAGTTTTTCTAATTTCTGATCAACGATCGTTTCCAATATTTAACTCATCAAGAGTTATTAATATTAAAAAAATATATAACTTATTTTACTGTCGTCAATAATAAATGACTAAAATGAGTTAGGCAGGTTAATATCAAAGTGCTAGAAGACAAAATAATTGCTAGGAAAAAAGCACAAAATTGATAAACACAATAAGCCAAGCCAAATGGACCTCTTCATTTCCTGTTTTATACTGCCTTTTTATTTTCAAGATACGGCTCGTGTTGATGTAGACAGTAACAATACTTAGTCTCAATAGTGCAAGATAATTAACGCAAGAATCTGCATATGTCCTTACTACAAAGGCTTCTCTCTGACCACTCCGATTTGCCAGCAAAGGTGACAGTGCAGACTCGCCTGTCCAACATGCGTGATGCTACCAGGTTGATCGTATTCAGCTTTGGCCTCCAAGTAATTTGGACCTGTGTTTCAATACAGTCTCTAATTTTCCTTTGCCTGCTGACATGTCCTTCGTCCGCATCTCCCTCAGTGCCGTGCAACGTTCTCAAGCATTTGGAAAAACGCCAAAGAGTAAATTTTGTGTGTGGTTTTATAAATAAAATCTCCACTGTTAGACGTTTGCTCGAGTTTATGGTTTGTTTTATAAACGCTGAGGATGATGATGAAGATATAAATTTATTGATTTATCCATTCATGCAATGGCTACATGAGTTTATTAAAAGGTTTTGCAATACGTGACGGCTTGAATTTTATTATGGTCGATGGATAGATATGAAATGATAATAGGCAGGAAAGATGGCAATCCTTATTTACAAACTATTTTTGTTACATCTATTTGTTAAAATTCAGCTTGCTGTATGTGCTTCGTGTGGTGTGGATAGTATAGCCTTAGGGGCACTATGGTTGTAGCGGGTTCTTAGCGGCAAGGTTGAGACGTAGACACAAATCAAAAAAATTTTATTCTGTAAACTGAAAACTCTACCAAATAAATATACAATGTCAATAAAGAAAACCAAAATAAAAATTAAAGTTCGAGGTTAGTATGCAGACTTGTTCCTGACAGTGCTGTGACCACGTACGAGCGGATACTGTTTCAACTTCTTCACTTGACAACAATGTAGAATCCTTCGAACACTGGTGTTATGTGGGATTGACTCCTTCGGTTCCAGCCGTCTTCTGTACCAATATTGGACCACCTGTGCTTTACCCAACCGACAAACGTTGTTGTTACGTTGAAAGGCAACTACTTCGTTCGCCACCCTCTAACGCAACAGATAACTACTTCGTTCGCTACCTTACGTTTGTCGTCGTTGAGCTCGTAACAACCCCGTACCGTATTTCCAGCTCTCCCGTCTAACCACTAACTACCATCCACGTACCAACAAATGAATCTTCTCCCAATAATACCATACCAACCAACAGCTACTTCAACCACGGTTGCGTGTCCAATTTCTCACCAACAAAAACGCCAACTTTACCAACTAATTTTCTACAATGAAATTAACCAACTCTACCAACTAATTTTCTACAATAAAAATAACTAACTCTACCAACCAATTTACTACAATAAAATAAACTTTTTTCCTGTCTGACGAGACCAGCTTTTATTTACCCGACGCGCCGTCCTACCCTGCAGCAAAACAACAACAACAACACACGTTTAGACGACATTTTCCCCGAGATTGGGGGTTGCCGTTTGGCTACCTATGATGAAACCGAAATACCCCTCGACGCCATCCACATCTGTCACTCGCTTCAGTTTCACGCAACCCCGCTTTCACCCTGTCTTTCTCCACCTGCTCTCTCCATCCCAATCGCGGACGACCCCTTCCTACCACTCCTTCAACCTCGAACTCCAACGTTCGCCTAATCCCGACCCTTTCATCCCTTCTCAACACATGTCCATACCACTGCAATCTCGATCTCCTTATCAATGTCACAATGTCCTCATTCAGTCCCATCATTGACATCAGCTCTGTACTACTCCTCCTATCCTTCACTTTAACCTCACACATCATCCTCACCATAGCTCTTTCAGCCCTCTGCAGTACACTTTCCTCCTCTCTCCTCAACACCCAAGTTTCACCACCATATACCATCGCTGCTCTCACACATGCTTTATATATCCTCCCTTTCATCTTCACTGACCATTTCTTTCCACACAATACCCCACCCAGTTCCCTAAATTTCATCCATCCTACACGAACTCTAGCCGTAACTGCGCTCAAACATCCTCCATCCGCGTTCAGCTTATCCCCTAAGTAAACAAAGCTTTCCACTTTTTCAATACCACCACTCAACCCCGTCCTTGCGTCCGTCCTATTAATCACACCATGAACACATTTCTTACATTTGAACGTGCCTTCCACCTTTTTCAGTGCCCCCCTCACACCACTACATCTCTTATGCACCCATTTCTGACATCCTATACACAATACCGAGTTAGCCTTCACTCTCCTATCACATACCCCACAGGGGTCTATTTTACTTATCACTCGCTCCCTACCTTCCCCACTCACCATTACCTTCGTCTTACCAATATTAACTTTCAACCCTTTCTTTTCAATAACACTTTTCCATCTGTCAAATTTTAACTGCAATTCTTCCATGCTATCAGCCATCAAAACTAAATCATCTGCATACAAAATCTCAAATAACAACCCCTCCATTATGTTTCCACACACAACATCCATCACAATTGCAAACAGAAACGGTGATAACACTGATCCTTGATGCACTCCTATCTTAACACTAAAAGCGTCCGACATCCCCCTTCCAACCCTCACCTTTGTCTTTGCCCCTTCATACAGCTGCATCACAGCTTCAACAAGTCTCTTATTCACTCCTTTCTTCCTCAACGCCCATTCAATGACCTTCCTCGGTATTCGATCAAAAGCCTTTTCTAGATCCACAAAACACATGTACAATATTCGTTTCTTCTTTCTATAATTCTCCTGCAACATTCTCACCATGAACAACGCATCCACCGTTCCCCTACCAAGCATAAACCCACACTGCATTTCATTAACTGTCACCATATTTCTCAACCTCCTCTCAAGCACCCTCTCCACTACCTTCATTCCGTGCTCTAGCAATTTCACACCCCTATATATGACCCACAATCTCTCACATCTCCTTTGCCCTTATACAACGGCACCAGGTATACCTTCATCATCAAACATACTGTTAGCAATTCTCATCATAACTTCAATTCCTATCACCCCACTCGCTTTTATATGTTCTGCCGCCTTACCTAGTTTTATTTCTCTAACTGCTTTCTCTACTTCCTCCATCGTCACCTTCTCTATAGGTCTGTGTGTGACCGCGGATTCCACATCTCCATCCCACTCATTCTCTTCATTCATCAACCTTTCCATATGAGCTTTCCACGCCTGAGCTTTTTTCTCCTCATCTATGCAAAACTTGCCAGATCCATCCCAAACACATCCATTCCCTATAACATCTTTCCTATCCCTCATTGACTGCTTTGCTACTTTGAACATTTTCCTCGAACTCACATCAAATTCCATTTCCTTCATTAACCTATCTGATGCTTTCGTCATTGCAGTTGCCACTACCTGTTTTGCAACCTTCTTAGCCTTCCTATACTCAAACTCCTCTTCCTCCGTCATGTCCCTTCTCCTTACCCTAAACCTCTCCTTCTTGACCTCCAAAACCCTTCTTATATCTTCATCCCACCACCACGTCTCACCATGCCTACACTTTCCTTTCGTCCATCCACACACTTTATCTGCCGTAGCCAACACACAGTCCCTGTATCTCTCCCAAACATCTCCATCCTTACCACTCTCCCAATTTTCAGCCACCTTCACTTCAAATGCCTTCCTCACCTCTGCATCCTGCAACTTCCATGTCTTTCTCTTTGCCACAAACTTATCCTTCTTCCTACTCCCCATTTCTTTTGATGTCACATCCATCACAACCATACTATGCTGCAGCATACCAGGTATCGCCTTCACATTCTTCACATACTTCCTATGTTTGGCCCTTACCAATATATAGTCTATCATCGACCTATGCTCCCCTGACCTATATGTAATCAATCGCGCTGGTTCCCTTGTAAACCAGGTATTCCCCACCACCATGCTATGTGCATCCGCCAACTCCAACACTCTACGCCCTTCCTCATTCCGTATACCATATCTCCATCCCCCATGTACACCTTCATATCCGTCTGCATCCGCCCCCACATGACCATTCAAATCACCCAACAACACCACAAACTCATCCAACCCCGCTTGCCCAATCTCGTCAGAAACACCATCATAAAACCTATCCTTCTCCTCTTCCTTCCTACTTTGTTGTGGAGCATATCCTGATATCACCCTCACTATTACTTTTTCAAACACCATCACCACCACAATCACACCATTGCTTCTCCGCCTCACTTCCAACACCTTCTCCACCAACTCTTTTCTTACCATCATACCAACTCCTCCCGTACCATCATTCCCCTTCCACCACAACTTATATCTTCCACCTTTAGCCCCCACAAACCTTGTACCCTCACCCTTCCATCTGATCTCCTGTAATGCAGCCACGTCAACCATTCTCCTCTGCAGCTCCTCCATCACTTCCAAACTTCTTCCTGTCAACGTGCCTACATTCCAGGTACCAAACCTCCAACCCCTTAGTCTACAAGTAGTTCTTCCATCTATAGTGCCTTGCACCGCCACACTATAGAGTTGGGGTGCCAGTAGCCAGACCATCCACAGGGCCTTGCACCACAACCCCATGGACTGGATCTTCGGAGATTCTTCGCACCCTCTTCTGCCGGATACTGAGGGCCATTGTTATTTCCGTCATCATAAGTATTATTTTTTTTTTTGGCTAGTTTTTACGCAGGACGCCCTTCCTTACGCAACCACAGTTATAAGCGGTGGGCCTAGCCTTTGATGATCCAACATCACTCACAAGGCAGTGAGGGTCAGTTTAATGTCATAACCAGGACTATGTCATAACCAGGACTATGTCATAACCAGGACTACCCTGCAGCAATAATATAATTAAATGATGCGGCGCTCAACATCCACCCTTGAACCGTGACAATGGTTTTATTATAAGCATAGAATAATATGTAAGCAGCTCTGCGATTGACGGAGCTGTATTATAAAGAATAGAAAAGTGAAGACTACATTACATTTAGTTGAATGTAAATTTTTGAAAACAGTGTCTTTCCCTAGCTCTCATGTCATTAAGTGATGCTTTCAAGAAAAGAACGCAAAGCGCGGATGATTGGAGAGCCTCTCAGTTTATGAGTGTCTTATCTGAACCCAACAAACTTATGCACTCGTTGTTCTCTGACACGGTTCGTTTATGTGTAAATTTGTTACATGTCCACTTTAGATGGCCTTTTTTTGTTTTTTGACTTAGATAATCGTCAATTTTGTCTTGTTTTCAACGGTTTCTTAAAAAATGATACAGGCTCAATGTGAATATTTGTCGTTGGATCTTATGGAAAGATGGATAGCTGGTTTGTTTTTTTAATATTTTATTTATTAAATTAATAATGATTAATTATAATTAATCATAATTAGTTATTATCATAATTAAACATTTTTAATAATCAATTATATATAATTATGATTGATTATAAAATCGTTAAGTGGGTAGAAACTTTTTTCAAAATTAATTGAAGTTTAGATTAAACAGTTCAAACTGAATATCAGATTCAACCAAATTTGTTTTTGAATTTATATAAACATATTCCAAAATATTAAACATCTTTATATTTTTAATAAATATAATTAAACGTTTTTCTTGAGGATTATGTAGATGTGTAGATGTGATCAATAGCTGTTGATGTCTCGAAAGTTAGGTAAAAAAAAGGGACTTGGTGCTAACAATATGCATACAAGTTCAATATACAAACAATGTATACGTATCTTTGATGTTTTTGTCGATGTTTAATCAGAAGTTGAACGGTTGACCGTTTATGACGCAGAATCCTGCGCGGCTGTCCCTTCGAAAACCGCAACTCTCTAGGCCGCCGCGACTGAAACCGTAACCGCGCTAAAATTAAACCGCAGCCGCGCTAATTTAGGTAACGATTACTTTTATTAATTATCGTCTACTCCTGTTATCTTATTCCAAACTGGGTCGTCTTTTTTGCCGTGTATAACTTGTAGAAGACCAACTTTCTCCGACGAAAGGCTCGAGGCTGGTATCGAAAATGAGAAGCAGAAACTTCTGCAATTTTGAGTATTTTGTTACAACGAGCATAAGCTGTCGGCATATTCTTGAAAAATAAAACTGCAAGAATTTTTCTATACTTCAGTTAGTTTTTAAATGCGCTTATTTTATCAAACTAGTGTCATCATTTTTTGTCACCATTTTTTGATAACGTCAAAGGGATGAGTGTCTTTGTCACCGTTAACAATATTTTTATCAATTAACTTTTCGGATGTCATTTCGAAACATTTAACGCCACAATAAATTTAAGTTAAGACACCACTTTCCTGACAAGAAAGGAATGACTAATTAAAAAAGCATTCAAAAACTTTAAATTAAGACATACATAATTACATTTGTACATCATTACGAAAAACATAACGTAAAAACATGATAAATACTTTTTTTAATTTTTAGTTCTGCATATTTTGTGGCGACAGCGTTTTTTGCAATCAAAGCTGCACTGAGCAAGACTGCATCAATTTAAAACTGCAAACCGCGCGGGACTAATAGGAAATGAAATTTTTATAAACAAAATTTGAATTGATCATTTAAAAAATATGATGGCAGTTAAGTGAGATATTTATTTTGAGTTTGTTAATAATTTTATTATAATTATTTTAATATTATGGTTCTAATAACTTTTTTATTTGAATTGTAGTTGGATTTTTGTTGTGCTACCAACATTTGCAAACGCCTGACTGTTATGAATTGTGGAAATCTGCTATGCAAGGCAGTTATGTGTTGTCATTGTGTCGGGATGAAGTTATTCACATTCACAGTTTTGCTATTGGCTTCTTAGAAAATATCAAAGGGTTTGTTTGTTTTTACTATTTTCAAATTAAAAACTCTTTTATGGGTTTTCCACTTTTTAATTTATAATGGCTTAAACTAAGTATTGATAGTAAATTAATAGTGAATGCATTCTTTTTTTCACTACCATTGTTTACATTGAGGAAGAAGGTTGGGGGTGGGTGGTGGTTTTGATTGGCAGTGAAGGGAGTGGATGACGTGATTGGTACTAGTTTCTATTTTTTAATAATATAAAATCGAGTGCGTTGAATATTTGTGACGGTCTGATATGACGAAGGTAGATTTAGTTGAAGTGAATTAATTTTTTGATGAGGGATTGAAGTTGTTAAAGTTTTTGTTACGTAGCAAAGCCAGACCAAGAGAGGGGAGCTGGATACTTGATGTGTGATCTGTGGTTCGAATAATTTGATACTTTTGAGCAAAGTGTTTTGAGTGCGTGAAATTCATGGAGCTCTTTTGTGGTGATGTGGTTTATAGGAGGTGATATGTTGAGTGTGGAAGTAAATGTAATGTTTGATATTTGAAATTAATTCGCGCAAGTGATTGATGGATGTTCTGGAGGTTTTGTTATTTCTTACGACCATTGTGCACGATGAGTTCATGTGGTTGTATGAGGTTATAACGTCAGGTGACTGAGTGCATGGTTTTGACCACATAATTAATGAAGCAAGTTCGGACTGTGCTTGTGTTAGACGATGATGATGTTCTTAATGTTTTCACCGTTGGTTTAATTTTTCCATCTGTGAGGTTTTGTGTATTTCTGTTATTTATAATTACTCACCGACACAAAGTTAAAAATCTGTTATGAAAGATGTTGTCCAAGAAAATTTAGGATGCTTATGTTATGTTTATATTATTTTCTGAAATAGTTTTCATTTTTTCAGATTCAGTAAAAAAGTGGCGGAATTGAAGGACGTATTCTCTCAAACACTCAACAATAAGTCTGGTTTTTTTACGTTTCAATGTTTTAATTATTTTATCTTAATGATTTGAAAAATAAAGCAATTAAAACATTAAAAAAAATACAAACGGGAAAGTCATGGAATTCAAAGTAACTTTTCCAGACTCTGGAAAATTAAGATCATGAAAAGTCGTGGAATTTTGATACTGGAAAATGTCGTCGGTTTTTAAGGACGTATCAATTGCTACGTTGCCTGCTTAATTACTAAATATGCAGCTATCCGTAGTAGAGCCGTGATCCTTCCATGTTCAAGTTTTATCACATAATTGAGTTTCACATACAAAGGTCTTGGACGAATTTGTCTAAAATAGGACAATGATTTAAATTTTGCAAACCACTGAAGAATTAATTCATTACGTGGTCTCTGTTACTGGTTTCCCAAATATTTCAATTGTTTTTTTTTTTTTTTTTTGAGAAATTTTGAATTTGTCCGTTAGTCTAAATGCTTCCATGAACGGGTGCTTCCATGAACGGGTTGAAATATTTTATTACTTTCATCCACTATCACAAAATACAATAACGTATTATTAATATCATCACCGGCTACCACAAATGAAAAAATTCTCATAAAACCAAAAAGTTGAAATAAAAATTCAGTGACCGAACACCAAAGTTTGTAACTCGATTGATTTGATTACATTGAAGGTTGCAAAGTTAGCAGGGGAGCGGCAGTACGTGACTTTAGACATGCAGACATTGTATTACGGATGTTTAGTTTAATTCCACCGGACCTCACCGCAATTGATGCTTTTAACTTTTTCCTGTTGATATGAAAATTTTTTCAATTTGAAGTTTCTAGTGTAATTATTCAGAAAATTTTTTTAGTGTAAATTATTTATTCAGTTTTAGGAATTATAAAAATATATAAATTTGTGAGAGGGACTTATAGCTTAGTAAGTTTTTTTCTTCTAAATTCTAAACAGCCCATTGATGCATCGAGAAAGACGAAAATTTTTGAGAACATCGTTAAAAGAGTTGGGCATTATTTTCACCGATCAACCTGGCTTGCTGGGTCCCAAGGTCATGACCTGTGATTTGCTGTCTTTGGTTTTAAATATTATTACTCATTAAGCGCTAACTTATTTTTTGTAGGGTTTATTGCTGCTGATTGGATTATCACTGGCTCGTGATGAAGTGCTGTGGATGTTGAGGCACGCAGACAATTTGCCTCAAAAGAAAGGGAATGTGAAAGCCCACGGAGATGATCTGAACGACAGGTCATGCATTTATTTTGCAGAACATTCATTTTTTGACTTTTAAAATTGGGATTGAGATATAATTTTTGATCCAAATTGAATAAAATAATCGATTGGGTGATTGAGGTTGATTGATAGATTGATTGATAGATTGATTGATTGATTGATTGATTGATTGATTGATTGATTGATTGATTGATTGATTGATTGATTGATTGATTGATTGATTGATTGATTGATTGATTGATTGATTGATTGATTAATGTCACATAGTTAGCAAGCACTGCAGTTTAATTTTGTCTCTTATTTACCTCATTTTCGTTTAGTTTGTTATCACTGTTTTCGAATTTGTCTTGTTTTCAGCTGAAATCTTTTTCAAGTAGCTTTTTCTCAAAAAATCATATCTAACTTGACAACAGCTTAATTAATTTTTGTTTTCAATTCTGAACTGAAAAATAGTTGTCATGCTTATTTAGATAAAGTCACACCATTTTGAACTTTTATTTGTAACTTTTTTCATACACGGATACAAGCGTACTTATTTAAATACACATGCATATAAATGTATACCTCTTTCACACCAACGCCGACTTGTGCAATATTTTGAGAGCAAAAATTAAAGACGCACCGAATATTTATTTGGCAAAAATTTGACATTCGGCTTCGGCCATTTAAATGAAGTCAAGTTAAAAATGTATCACTTAAATATTGATGCTATGAATATTATATTAATTTTAAACATCTGTAAAGTAACTTCTTTGTGTGTTCACTACACCACTGTTGATTTGTCTTCATTAATTCTTCTCTGTGTCAGCTTATGATTGCGAAATTTGGCTATGTTGGTTTGTTTTGAATATTTTATTGATTACGAAATAGCAATATTTAACTATGTTATTTTTAAAGGCAAATAGCTGAACTGTTATTTCACATGGAAGAATTGCGAGGTTTGTTTGCTTGTTGTTTTAGTTTAATGCTTCAAGTGAGGACATTTTTATTTGGGTAATCAAAGGTTTGGTGAGGAAATATTCGCAAGTCATACAAAGATATTATATCCAGTATTTACTCGGCAGTGATGCTAGCATCCTCAATCAGCTAATTCAGGTTCAATAACTTGATCGCACATTTTTACAATATTACATTAAATGTTAAATAATAATCAATCAATCTTCGTTTAACGTCCAGAGACCCGGTTCCCCGAGGTAGGACGTTGTTTTCTTTGCCATCAATTTTTGGCGCCAAATTAGACGATCAGTTGTATCCATTTCATTTAAATTTAGAGCTTTCATGTCTTGCTCGATTGTTTGTGACCAGAACTTCTTTGGTCGGCCATTGAGACGTGTGCCAGGTACTTCAACATCTGCAAGAGAAGTTATGGCACTATTTCCACTTCGTTTGATATGACAAAACCACCGCAGACGTCCTTTATATCATCTAAACCAGCACGACGCAGGATTTCGGTAGATTTGATGTGGTCCTTCAGACTAATTCGTTGCATCGTTGAAGTTGTTGTTCCAGTTTGGTTGTCATTGGCCATGTTTCTGCACCATACAACATGACCGGACGTATCACAGATTTATAAAGTCTTGATCGTAGTGGTAGTGGGATGTCACGCCGAATCAATATAGAGGCAAGGAGATGCCATTTATTCCAGGCTGCACGTATGCGTGCTCGAACGGCAGCTTCAGCTGTTCCGGTACAATCCAGAACATCCCCTAGATATTGAAACGATGTGACTATCTCTACCTTAATGGCTTCAAAAACAGTGCTATTTCGTATTTATTGTTGTGGATTGATGCAAGCAGGACAAACAAAATTGGACACTTTAGATAAAGTACCGATTATTTTTGAACAACGATTGTGACACCACTGATTACACTCCTGACACTTGATTGAATTGTTACCTACACCAGCTTTACAAACTGAACAGGGCCATCGTCCAGTAGCTGTGGATTGGATGGGTTCACCAGTGTTCATTGCTTTGGTTTTGCTGATGTTGACTTTGAATCCATGATCAGCGAGAAGAGTCTTAGTATTCGTATACATTTCCATCACAAGTCGAACAAGATATTCTGGAATGAGTTGTCGAATGTTAAATAATAAGGATCATTATAGGAATTTTCAATCCTGAAAGTCCAAACCACTTCATTCTGCTGTTTCTAAATTAGCCTTATCATGAATGTCTAATATTTTTTTAACTGCAAAATACAGTTTCTATTAGATGTCTTCGTTTACCTTGATGACAATCGATGACTAGAAAAGTGTCAAAGTTGAAAACTTAAATTTTCTGGGAAATCCGTTGATTAGTATGCACTGCAGTACTTGATCTGTCATTCATCGCTTTATCATTATTACTGTCTTATAACTGCGTTTTTGAGGTTAAATTGGTGAAGAAGTTATCAGTCAGCGGAGGTGCCAACTTCACAAAATTATCGGGAGGTAAAAAATCAACACACAACTAATTAAACTTATATATTCTACAAAACTTCTACAAACATGTCGCTGACAATTTAGTTTTTGAAGTCTTTTTCAATAGTTTGAATTGAACTGACGTATAGTCCTAATTGTGAATGACGGTTTTCAAGTTAGCAGTGTAGACCTCAATTTGGATAATGCGTGAGCATTGTTAAACCAAAAAAAACCCTCGAATTATTGTAACCCTGTGATTGCTTTTTAGTTGGAAGTATAATTGATCCAAAAGAAAAAATTGAAAAAATAGCAATGTCAATAACAATGTTCTACTCTTTCAAGTGTTTCTTAGCAAAAAGTTTCTACATAATACGATCCTTTCATGTGAAAAGTGGCTTTTCTCTGCTTATTTTTTGAAAGAATATTTTGATGTTAAAATTTTAGGCATTGCCTGCATTTTCGGAAGATGAGTCATCAATGTTATCGTCAATCTACAACATTATTGCCAATGTTTCGACCAAGCAAGGTTTGGAAATAAATAGTTTGATGAAGGAGTGTAACTTAATTTTATATTTAATGAAACCGTTCAACATTTCTTCAATAGACTTCATTTCATTGCTCTTTTTTTCCTGTAATTTCATAGTTAATCCGCTACCTTTATTTTAATCTTTCCATAATATTTACTAATTCCGTTTCATTTTAATATTTAACTATTACGTACAGTTGAAGCCAACGAACCTTTTGATTTCTTTGGTTTAAGGCTTGATTGGTTCAGACTGCAAGTTCGTTTTATGAAATATTTATACTTATTTATTTTTAATTTGTTGATTAAATCATTTTAAGCAATCTATCTGTTTTTACTTTAATTACTTGATATTATCAAGTTAAATTTCAACGCTATTTGAAAAATTATTAAAAATGTCATTTAAAATTTTGTATTTTATTTTGTTACTCTGTTGAAGAAGCCGGCCGTCTATGTTCTGTATACCTCTAAAAATTCATCGTAATTATTTTTTCTTCTTTATTTTTTTAAATTTTGCTTCAAAGCGAATCGCTTCAACAACACTCAACTTTCACTGTTCTGCAGTTCTGCCTGCTTTACTTTGTTAAACTCTAGGAACTCATTGATCATTTTTATCATTTTTGCACGCTGCTGAAAAATGGCATCAGTGAAGCAGATTTGAATAAGGGACATGGGATGGATGGCATTGAAATTTCTTGGTCAGATGGAGAGAAGAGATGGAGGAAATTGAATGAAGGAATGTAGGACCTTTGATGTCATAAAATTGGAGAAAAGTGGTAGACCCGAGCCCTCAGCTGTGAGAAGTTGGGTAAAAGGACATGAAAACGCTTGGCCTGAAAGAAGACATGCAAAGGATAGAGACTGTCACTGGCGTATTCAAATGGACGATTATGTAGAACGACCCACCTGGGGGAGTCAATGACAGAATCCTGATATCAGCCCTGCATTTGACAACCGACTCAGGACATGCATATATGAACTTTTATAATAATGATAAAGATTATTTTATATATATATATATATATATATATATATATATGTGTGTGTATATATGTATATATATATGTATATATATGTTTATTTATTTATTTACTGTCATATTCGATTCAAGTGCGTTCTAAGTGGTTCAAGAAGTAGTCTGCATTTGAAGTCGATGGTTCAGTTGGCTAAGCACATGAACACAATCAGTTTTCATTCGAAAATGGTTGACTCATTGGACCAACTTCTTACTGAAGCATCTGATTTATCCATATATTGGTTTGTTATATATAAATCACTTATCTTTTTTTTAATTTAAATCTTTATCTTATAAAAACATTCAAGGATTAGTGAAATTTTATATTTCTATTTGTATTAACACTCTAATTAAACAATGATCTTCTATGATTGCATGTATTTTTAAATTCTTCAGGCTGATTTCTTCTGACTTTGTTTCTCACTTTATTGCTAATATATATATTGCTTATAATTATTTTTTCTCTTCTGTAAATTTGCTGCTTCAGTTATCCACGGTTTTGCTGTGGACCTTTTGATATTGCAACTTTTGCCTGCCGCTTCCAGTTTTTGACTGTTGTTTCTGTGTCGTAACTGTTTCTAAGTTTTTACTTGCTTCTAAACTAATTTTATTTTTTTGTAATTTTATTATCATCATGATTCTATTGTACCGTTTCGTCGTCGTAATGTTTTGACCCATTTGTGACCTCTTGTTTGTTCAACAAAATCCAACAGTCGGATCCAATTTGTGCACTTATGAAATATCGGTCTTGTGTGACAAATGTAACCTATTTCTGCTTTAGTACTTATTTGAGAGCCTCGTGCTGCCAGCTTATTTTGAATTACTTTGCTGAGCGAGCCTCAGCAAAAGCTGGAGCTCAACTACTGGCTATAACTATTAATTATCATCCAACATTTGCGTATATGTCCTTTATGCAGGTTAAACTAACCTGAATCTGTCTGGAACCGTATATAATGCATAATAACTGATATCATATGAGAATACTATATCATATATAATATATAAAGTAAAATATTAAATACAAATAGAAGTAGGCACGGAGTCCATTTATTGGCATATATATTTGAATATATTGCATATATATATATATATATATATATATATATATATATATATATATATATATGTATATGTATATATATATATGTATATATATATATGTATATATGTATATATATATATTGCTGAGATTGAATTTTTGTCTTTAAAGAAATTCTTAATGTTGTTCCGACAAGGTTTTTTTTTGTCATTTGAATTTTTTCTCTTTATTGAAATAATCTACCATTTTTATTGAACTTTTTATCGAAAAAATGTTTTTCATTCGAACGTTAATTTTCGTTAAAGTCGATAAATAGATGACTGAACCTTACATTTATTTAAACTGTTAATGAGCGGATGAATGAATGTAATTAAAGATAGTTTGTTTCCATGACAGCTTCTACACGTCGATACTGGAGCAGCAGTTCAAGCAGTGCATGGAGTTTCCTGCCCAGCACAGGTTCTCAATCTCCTTCCCCCTCATATGCTCGCACTTCATGTCCACCACTCATCCACTCTGTCCTGAGGAGGTGATGTGATATCCAACATATTCGATGATGATGGCGGATCTATATTTTATATTTTCTGCTATTTTTTTCATTTATTACAAAATTTAAGCTAGTTGCTGATTTGTGCCTAACTGTGTGCCAATATTCTTTAAAACAGGGATTCTTGTATTAAACAATTTTTAATAATAAAAATTTTCAATTTGGCCCAGTTGTTTAATTTTGCTTTTCAAACGTATGATAACTTTATGATAAAGTTTATTGGGTTTGCACTGTTATTTATGTTCTGTGAAACATAATTGCAGAGACATTCAATCGGCACTACTAGCATTCAGTATGCTCATTGGTTTCTGAAAGAAATGTCCGAAGAAGTGAATCAAGTGATCACAGCCATATGTGAGGAACAATGCCTCCTTGCTGACAAGGTGCCCTATCTTAATTGAAAGAGTGTTATTTATTATACATGTTCATTTTTTGTACAAGTTTGGTTGCTGATGATTGCTTGTTGATTTTATATTTTTAATTTGTAATAATTTTGATGGTTAAGTTAACAATGTCAGAAATGGGTGCATAAGAGATGTAGTGGTGTGAGGGGGGCACTGAAAAAGGTGGAAGGCACGTTCAAATGTAAGAAATGTGTTCATGGTGTGATTAATAGGACGGACGCAAGGACGGGGTTGAGTGATGGTATTGAAAGAGTGGAAAGCTTTGTTTACTTAGG